CGGTTTGGGGTGCCCAACCCCAGCCCCTTGTCCGGGGGGGGGGGGGGACATGGCTGAGACCCCCCTGTGGCACCCGGGGTCACCCCGAGTGACCGCAGAGTGACCCCTGAGTGACCCCAACCCAGAGACCCCCCTGTCGCACCTGGGGTCACCCATGAGTGACCACAGAGTGACCCCTGAGTGACCCGAGTGACCGGTTTGGGGTGCCCAACCCCAGCCCCTTGTCCGGGGGGGGGGGGGGACATGGCTGAGACCCCCCTGTGGCACCCGGGGTCACCCCGAGTGACCGCAGAGTGACCCCTGAGTGACCCCAACCCAGAGACCCCCCTGTCGCACCTGGGGTCACCCATGAGTGACCACAGAGTGACCCCTGAGTGACCCGAGTGACCCCATCCCAGAGACCCCCCTGCGGCACCTGGGGTCACCCCAGAGTGACCCCAGAGTGACCCCTGAGTGACCCCAGAGTGACCCCTGAGTGACCCCCCAGAGTGTCCTGCGTCCCCTATCCCATGTCCCTGTCCCATGTCCCTGTCCCTGTCCCTGTCCCGTGTCCCCTGTCCCCCCCCCTGTCCTCCTGTCCCCATCCCATCCCTGTCCCCATCCCTGTCCCCTGTCCCTGTCCCCATCCCCGTCCCTGTCCCTGTCGCCATCCCCGTCCCTGTCCCTGTCCCCATCGCTGTCCCTGTCCCTGTCCCCATCCCTGTCCCCTATCCTGTGTCCCCTGTCCCTGTCCCCGTCCCTGTCCCCATCCCTGTCCCCTATCCCATGTCCCTGTCCCTGTCCCCATCCCTGTCCCCATCCCCGTCCCCACCCCTGTCCCCTGTCCTGTGTCCCCTGTCCCTGTCCCTGTCCCCGTCCCTGTCCCCGTCCCCGTGCCCACCCCGGTGCCCGCGGGCTCCTCGGCCCTCATGGCGGCGTAGGGCAGCTCCGGGGGGAAGGTGGCCACGAGCAGGGCCTGGTGGGCATCGTCCCCGTCCCGGTGCGGCTGCGCGGGGTCCGAGGGCTCGTTGGTCACCTGCACCTCCAGCGCCACGTCCTTCTGGTCACTCACGGCGAAGATGGCAGTGCCATCCTCGTCCCTGCGGGCACAGCCTCGTCAGAGCCCTGGGGACACCCCGGGCACTCAGGGTGAGGTGGCAGTGCCAGCCTTGGACGTGTGACCCCCGGGGACACCCCGGTCCCTCCCGGGAAGGTGGCAGTGCCATCCTGGCACGTGAGACCCCTGGGGACAGCCCGGTCCCTCCCGGGAGGTGGCAGTGCCATCCTCACCCCTGTGACCCCCTGGGTACACAGCAGTCCCTCCCGGGAGGTGGCAGAGGTGGCAGTGCCACCCTCGCCCCCGTGACCCCCTGGGCACACCGCGGTCCCTCCGGGAGGTGGCAGTGCCATCCTCGTCCCTGCGGGCACAGCCTCGTCAGAGCCCTGGGGACACCCCGGGCACTCAGGGTGAGGTGGCAGTGCCATCCTCACCCCATGACTGCCCTGGGGACACCCCCGACACTCACAGAGAGGTGGCAGTGCCATCCTCGCCCCCGTGACTCCCTGGGCACACCCGGGTCCCTGCCGGGAGGTGGCAGAGGTGGCAGTGCCATCCTCACCCTGTGACTGCCTTGGGCACATCCCGGTCCCTCCCGGGGGTGACAGTGCCACCCTCTCCCCCGTGCCCCCTGGGCACACCCCGGTCCCTGCCGGGAGGTGGCAGAGGTGGCAGTGCCATCCTCACCCTGTGACTGCCTTGGGCACACCCCGGTCCCCGCCGGGTGGTGGCAGTGCCACCCTCACCCCGTGCCCCCCTGGGCACACCGCGGTCCCTCCGGGTGGTGGCAGTGCCACCCTCACCCCGTGGCCCCCTGGGGACACCCTGGTCCCTCCCGGGTGGTGGCAGCAGTGCCCTCTCCCCCGTGTGCCCCTGGGCACACCCCGGTCCCTCCCGGGAGGTGGCAGTGCCACCCTCACCCCGTGCCCCCGGGGACACCCCGGTCCCTCCCGGGGGTGGCCGTGTCCCCGCCGGCGCTGTCGCTCACCGGGGCAGGGGCAGGAAGTCGCTGTCGCCCAGGCGCGCGCAGAAGCGCGGCCGCAGCTCCAGGTGGCTCTGGCAGATTTTGTCATCGCCGCAGCCCTGGCGCAGGAAATGCACCTGGGGGACACGGGGACACTGCGGGGACACTGCGGGGACACCGCGGGGACATCGCGGGGACACCGCGGGGACACTGCGGGGACACCCCGGGGACACGGGGACACTGCGGGGACACCCCTGAGACACCCCGGGGACACCGCGGGGACACCGCGGGGACACCGCGGGTACCGCCAGGTGAGATGGAAACGGCAGGGGGACACGCCGGGTGTGCCCAGGTGGGACAAGGGGACACCGGGGGACACTGGAGGACACGGGAAGGACACAGGGACAGACAGGAGGACACAGAGGGGACACTCCCGGTGTCCCAAGCTGGGACAGGGGGACATGGAGGGACACGGAGGGACCCAGGGGGTGACACAGGGTGACACAGGTAGGTGATACAAGTGTGACACAGGGGGTGACACGGGTGACACAGGTATGTGACACAGGTGGGTGGCACAGGATGGGCACAGGGTGACACAGGGTGACACATGCAGGTGACACAGGGTGACACAGGGGGATGACACAGGTGGGACATGGAGGGACACAGGTGGGACACAGGTGTGTGACCCAGGGTGACCCGGGGGTGACACATGCAGGTGACACAGTGTGACCCAGGGTAACTCAGGTGCCCCCGGGGGTGGCACATGGGGCTGACACAGGTGTGTGACACAGGGGGTGACTGACACAGGTGGATGACACAAGGTGACAACTGCAGGTGACACAGAGTGACCCAGGTGACCCGGGTGGCAGGGTGGCACAGGGGGCTGACACAGGTGTGTGACGCAGGTGTGTGACACATGCAGGTGACCCAGAGTGACCCAGGTGACCCAGGTGACCCAGTGTGGCACAGGTGTGTGACCCAGGTGTGTGACACATGCAGGTGACCCAGTGTGACCCAGTGTGACCCAGGGGTGACCCAGTGTGACCCAGTGTGACCCAGGTGACCCAGGGGTGACACAGTGTGACCCAGTGTGACCCAGGTGACCCAGGGGTGACACAGTGTGACCCAGTGTGACCCGGGGGCCGGGTGGCACAGGTGTGTGACCCAGGTGTGTGACACATGCAGGTGCCCCGGGTGTGGGGTGGCACAGGGGGCTGACACAGGAGTGTGACACAGGCAGGTGACACAGGAGTGTGACACATGCAGGTGACCCAGGTGACCCAGGTGACCCGGGTGCCCGGGTGGCAGTGCCAGCCGTGCCCACCTCGGTGCGCAGCGTGCTGGGCTGGCGCGGGCTGAGCGCGGGGGCCAGGGGGGGCAGCGCTGTCCCCCGGCCCCCCCGGTGCCACCCGCGCGTCCCCGCGATGCCGAAGGCCAGGGTGACATCCAGCGGCCGCAGCTTGTCCCGGATGTCGTCCTGAGGAGGAGGAGGAGGAGGGGGGAGGAAGGTCAGGAGGCACTGGGGACACCGGAGGTGCTGGCACGGCCGGGGGGGACACGGCGGGGACAAGGGGGACAGGGATGAGGGGAGGAAGGTGAGGATGAGGAGGCTGAGGCTGAGGCTGAGGAGGATGAGGAAGGTGAGGATGAGGAACATGAGGATAAAGAAGCTGGGGAGGGTGAGGATGAGGAAGATGAGGCTGAGGAGGAGGAGCCTGAGGAAGGTGAGGCTGAGGATGAGGAAGGTGAGGGTGAGGATGAGGAAGATGAGGATAAGGAGGCTAAGGAGGGCAAGGCTGAGGAGGCTGAGGATGAGGAGGGCAAGACTGAGAATGAGGAAGAGGAGGCTGGGGAAGGTGAGGCAGAGGAAGAAAAGGCTGAAGCTGAGGAGGGTGAGGAAGAGGAGGCAGAGGAAGAGGATGAGGCTGAGGATGAGGGGTGAGGCTGAGAACGAGAAAGAGGAGGCTGAGGATGAGAAGGCAGAGGAAGAGGGGCAGAGGATGAAGAAGAGGAAGAGAAGGCTGAGGCTGAGGAAGAGGAGGCAGAGGGAGAGGAAGAGGAGGCAGAGGGTGAAGATGAGGTTGAGGAAGAGGAGGCTGAGGGTGAGGAGGCAGAGGAAGAGGAGTTAGAGACAGAGGAGGGTGAGGATGAGGATGAGGAAGAGAAGGCTGGGGAAGGCGAGGCCGAGGAAGAGGAGGCAGAGGAAGAGGGGGCAGAGGAAGAGGAGGCAGAGGGTGAGGCTGAGGAAGAGGACACAGAGGATGAGGCAGAGGGTGAGGAGGCAGAGGGTGAAGGTGAGGAAGAGGAGGCAGAGGGTGAAGGCGAGGCCGAGCAAGAGGAGGCAGAGGGTGAAGGCGAGGCCGAGGAAGAGGAGGCAGAGGAAGAGGGGGCAGAGGAAGAGGAGGCAGAGGGTGAAGGCGAGGCCGAGGGGCGGAGGATGAGGAGGAGGCCGAGGCCGAAGCACGCACGTGCAGGCGGAAGGTGGCGGGCACGCAGCGGCGCTCTCCCGGCCGCGGCAGCTCCAGGCGGGTCCCCAGGCGGTGCTCGGGCTCGGCCGGGCCCCGCGCCGGGAACGACCCCCGGGGCTGCAGCCCCCGGCCCCGGCGCTCCGAGTCCGCCTCCAGCAGCAGCTGCAGCTCTGCGGGAAAGGCGGGGAGGGGGCTCAAAGGGTGGGGGTCCCGAGGATGGGGAGGGGGCCCAAAGGATGGGAGGGGTCCCAAGGGATGGGAGGGGTCCCAAAGGACGGGGAGGGGTCCCGAAGATGGCGAGGGGTCCCAAAGGATGGGGAACCAAAGGATGGGGAAGGGCCCAAGGATGGGGAGGGGTCTCAAGAATGGGGGTCCCAAAGGATGGGGAGGGGTCCCAAGGATGGGAGGGGTCCCAAGGATGGCAAGGGGCCCAAGGATGGGGAGGGGTCTCAAAGGATGGGGGTCCTGAAGATGGGGAGAGGTCCCAAAGGACGGGGAGGGGTCCCAAGGATGGGAGACCAAGGATGGGGAGGGGTCCCGAAGGAGGGGGATGGGTCCCAAGGATGGGGGTCCCAAAGATGGGGAGTGGTCCCAAAGGATGGGGGGCAAAGGATGAGGAGGGGCCCAAGGATTGGGGTCCCAAGGATGGGGAGGGGGCCCCAAGGATGAGGGGGGGGAGGGGTCCCAAAGGATGGGGAGGGGTCCCAAGGATGGGAAAGGGTCCCAGGGAGAGGTGAGACCCTCAGGAATCAGGGGAGTTCCAGGAATTGGGGGATGCCCTGGGGGGTCCCTGGAATGGGGGGGTCCCCAGGATTTGGGGGGAACCCCAGGGCTCGGAGTGCCCCTGGAATGGGGATCCCCAGCATTGGGGGTCCCTGGGATGGGGATCCCCAGCATTGGTGGTCCCCCGCATTAGGGGTCCCCCAGCATTGGGGGTGCCCAGGATTTGGGGGATCCTCAGTATTGGGGGTCCCAGCTTGGGGGTCCCCCCATGGGGGCCGGGGTCGCACTCACCCAGCGGGGGGCTGTCGCTGCCCGGGCTCGCGGTGTAGCTGAAGCACGCCCGAACCTCCAGGCTGGAGGGGCCGGGGGTCACCGGGGGGGTCCCGAGACCCCCGC